ATTTTTAAAAGTTAGCTTTTAACCTATAATTAAATATTAGATATATATTATATATACTTCTTGTGTCCAGTCATTTTTTATCAATGTCTTGAAGTAATGAGATCTTTCCGCCAATATAACCTGATGTGCAAGAATTGTTCGTCCTTCAACCAAGAATTTGATATCACTAAAATTTGGTGTATTTAAAGTTTGTGAAAACGCCGTCCAAGCTGTTCGTGAATTTAATGTTAATCGTGCCATCGATTCCTCTAATTCATCTGGCACACCAGATGGATTTGGCGTGATTATCACAACATGAACAACAAGAGTATCATCTTCTAAAACACTCCCTGTTCGCTGAATCATTTCTGGTAATAGTATTTCAGGTTCTTCTGTACTATTAGCATTGTTATTTCCTTCGCAGTTTAGAACCGCTTTTGAACAAAAACTTGGCCATCCCCAAGCCGGTTTTACCTTCAAAAATTCATGACGTTCACTATAAAAAATTTTACAAATGATTATTCAAAAGTTGCGTTCCAAAGACATGTCTATCGATTTCAACTAACTTACCTACGACGTTTTACTAATCTCAAGACCCGGTTTTCCCCTTGTTGAACAGGAACATAAAAACCAATATAAAAATTCACGTTAATTCTTGAAGAAGGTTGTGCGTCAATCGGAAATATAGTTTCTAGATAACAGCTGATGCTGTTTTGGGAACTTTCACTATTGCCGTTAGGATGGAATTTTAGTCTCCAATTCAAAGGTATGTAAGAACATCCACTGTCGTCGAAAACACAAATGTTACAGGTCCACTGAGGACTATGAAAACATTGAGGCCTTGGTGCTAGAGCTTCTATTTTTTTAAAATTCGGTATAATCCAAGTAAAATTGTGAATAATACTACTTCCAACCTGAGATTCTGTTTCGTTACGCATTTTAAAAGTATAATTATACAGAAACACAGAAATTTTGCAGTTAAAAAAACTGTATAATGTGTATAATGTCTTATTAACTGTCACACGATTTGTCACGCAGATCACAAAATAAATAAATTTTTTTTCATGGTCGAATGATCTTCGCACCTAAATTTCATTGCAGAAAAGCTTCTCGATCCTTATTCGGCAAAACAAAGTACTTTTTAGTTGGAAAGAATGTTTATTTTTGTCAAGTGTTACGGAAATAAATTGCACGCAAATTTTATGGGCTTGGTACTTTTTGTTTTAATATGTATATGGTATCCAATTATTTTTTTTTCTTAGGAATTGATACTTTGCTGCACTAGCTTTATGAAACTTTGAAGTATATATAATATATATCTAATATTTAATTATAGGTTAAAAGCTAACTTTTAAAAATTTAACTATTGTAATTCATAATTATCTTGCTGTATTATTCTTTTTTATTTTTTTTTATCTTAGATACACTATTAAAAAAACATTTGTGTTAAGCATACAAATTTGTATATTAAGACAGAATTTTATTTAGTATTCACCGGAGGTGAAATTCACCACTATATGTTTTAATTATTATGATCTATGAAAAATGTTACAATAGATTTAGATTTTATAGACTTTAGGGTTAGGGTTTAAGGCTTAAGCAGGGGTTAAGGTTTTTTAGGGTGTTAAACATTTTTACTTTGTATATCAAATACCGATTGTCAAGGCCATTTTTTTTAGAAACAATGTACCCGGTGAATTTCACCTCCGGTGAGCGTTAAAATTGTCCTTTTAGATATATAATATGATATGGCAAATCATGCAACATATTTGGTTACTGTTAATAACCGATTTAAGAAAACTGCTTGACCTCTAAATTTGGAATTGATTCTATACATAAAACGAACTATTTTTTATTCTTTATGAAATAATAATATATTTTTTAAAATAAAAACCTTAAACTATTATAAACTATATATCAAAATTGCTTAAACCAGAAATGAAATTGTTTTGATTGGTGCCGAAAAATTCTGAATGAATCTACTCTTTAAGAAGCGCTTGTACAATATGACCGACTCTCATAGTTTTTAAATCAGTATATGTCTGCCCAGTACCGACAAATAAAATAGGCTGCCCAGTTGTATAAGCCATTGACAGTGCCGCACCAACCTATTCAAGTATATTAAAAGATTAATTGCTGAAATTATAGTTTACAAAATAAGATTTAACTAACCTTATCATCAATTGTATCAAATTTAGTTAATATAATTCCATCAATATGCCTTGGATTTTGTAATCCTGAAAAATCTTTTAAAGCCTGATTGAATTTCGTAAGCTGATCAACTGCTTCGTTACCAACTAGCGCTTCGCCAACAAATATTATTTTATCCGGGTTATTTACTGTTACTAACTTAAGTTTAGGATCAAATATATAGTGAATAAAACATCAAATATGTAAAATTCCTTTTGTGTAAATTTATTAATACCTTAGCGAGAGCACGCATTAACGGCTCATTGTCCTGCATACGACCGGCAGTATCAATCAATACAACATCAAATCCGTTTGCCTTAGCTACAAACGAAGAAAATTGAAAATCGAAATCAGAAACAAAAAGACCAATATTTCATACAGTACTTACCGAAATTAATGGCATCTTTGGCGATTCCTGCAGCATCTTTTCCATATCCGCGTTCATATAATTCAACAACCGAATTTTGCCCTAAAGTGTTTAAATTTCTAACATGTACTTTCAATTGTTCCACAGCACCAGACCTAAAAGTATCGCAGCCTGCAATTAGGACCTTAAGCCCATTTTGCAATAACCAGAAACAAGTCTTCGATAGATTTGTCGATTTACCTGTTAAAGTTTATAAGTCAAAAATCATAGTATTAAAGTTAATAATAATAAGAAATATTTGATATTTAAAAAATAATATAATGAATTGTAGCGCATACCAACACCATTCACACCAATAAAGCAAATAGTGTAAGGACGTGATTCAGATTGAGCCTGCGAAATATCACGTAACAAATCCACGGATGTCTTTGGAGTCAAAATACGTTTTAACGCTGATTCCATGGATTGCTTCACAGTTGACCGAATTGCTTTAGATCATTGAAAAAGTGTAAATGAATATATTATTATCATTGATTTTTTAATATGAATATCATAGTTTTATAATGTAAGGTAGGCATACATTTGAAACTTCCAATTTTTTGACCTACAAGAGTTCTTGAGACTGAATCACATAAATGCGTAGCGATATCAGCCGCAACATTCTTGTTAATTAAATGTTCTTTCATGTTTGCCAACACAAGAGTGAGATCTTCTTCTGTGATCTCCTTTTGACCGGTGATGTTTTGGAAAAATGAAAAAAGTCTAGACCCTTTAGTACTATTGTCATGTGCAGTTCCACTTGTCACTTCATCTTCATCTTCATCTTCATAATCCTCATCCTCATCTTGCTTCAAGTCGGCAACTTCATAATGACCATCTTGAGAGCGATGTCCTAAATTATTTTCATCAACAAGATTCTGACGTATAGCTGATGCCGTATCAATATTTTCATTTGGACTACTATAATCAAGACTTTCCATTTCTTCTTTAGTCAATTTGTCGTCCCATACACGCATGACTTTCTTTGTGGATTTCTTATCACTAAACAAAACCAAACAAAAAAAAATCTAAAAGAATAC